CCTCGTCCCCTGCGAGGTTCGGTGAGGTGAGGACGAGGAAGAGGTACCCCCGAGTGGGGAAGTACTCAAGACAGTCCGCACGGGGGGTCGACTGCACCCCCGCCTTCGTCCGCGCGTGGACAGGAAGCCAGGAAAGAAGCGTCTCCCGCTCGAGACTGCTCGGGTTGTGGAGGTCGACCCAGACGAACTCCCCTTGGGGCTCCTGCCAGGTCGTCACCGCCGTGAACGCCTTCGCGCCCCCAGACGTCGGTTGAGGTGTCCTACCCTGCACAGCCGCAGGGCAAGACTGCGCCCCGGAGAAGTTCAAAAGGCCGGAAAGAAACCGCAACGGCTGCAGCTTTTGTTTGAGGTGATTAAGATCCTTCAGCGGCGTAAACTCCAGATTTGCAGGAGGCGAATCCGACGAGGACGGATTAGGATGCCGCGATATCAACAAACTAATATGCTGGTGGGGCATAGTTGGGAATATCAGATTTGGGGGTATTGTCAACCTTTAAAACTCTTCACCACTTCTTTTTCTTTTACTCGATTGACAGAGAAATTTATTCAATGCAAAATGCAACTCGCATGCGGTTAAATATACAAAAAAAAGTACTCACGTCGGTGTCGTAATCGACTTCAACTTAGCTTGATTAATATGAAATATTATAGATTGTTTTAAAGGGAAATTAAATGCCGTGCAACTCAAAACCAAAAAAACCTTCCTTCGTGTATAATAGTTTGAACACTTAGATGTCCATAAAGATTACCGCATTCAGAAAGCAGCGAACTGGTAAAATTAAAAAATAGGTAAAAATTACTAATACTAAAGCTAACGCAAATGAAATGACACAGAGGAAAGAGATGAGGTGGAATGCATCGACATTTCAAGCATATTTTAGAATGTGGGAAAAAAAAGAGGTAAACAAACTGCAGTTTTTATTGTATTTTTTGGAGGATAAGATAATGTACGTAGCTCCAGGGGATAACAAGGCACAACAATGATAATAGCAATATGCGTAGTAGTCTTTAAATGGAAATTTTCATGCCGTAATAACGTTGTATTCACTTTTTGAGGTGTTTCATTCTCCACCTGAAAAATGATATTCAGGCAGAGGTTGTCATCTCTGCGTACTCTCTTCCATTTGATCAACTTCGCACACGAAAAGTGGGAAAAAAAAAGAGAACAGGGTGAAAATGATTACCGAACTACTCGTTAATTCCGAGATTCTTCAAAATACGTGTCAGCACGGACTTTTCTTGGACTATTCTATAATGATCCAACTTCGTAAGAAGGCTTGCATGGCCTTTGACGACTTTCCGCAGCTCCATTGTATACCGCATGATGTTTCGTAAGGCGATTATCGCCTTCACGGAGCATCCATCCTCCTGCACATCCACCGTCACCGCACGATACTCATTTAGAGAAGCCACTAAAGTTCCCATAAAGCTCGTCTCCGACAGGTGAACCTCCAGCTCAATCATCGGTTCCAAAATCGCTAAATTCGATTTAGGAATGGAAGTGAATAGGTTAAAAATCGCCGCACGGGCGGCCTCGGTGAGGAGCCTTTCCTGTAAGGACGTCATTCCCCCTCCGACCTTGCGGAGGGCGGTTAACACCACCTCGACACCGTGGAGAGGAGCCCCGACGAATGGACCGAGCCGCGCGCAATCCCCTACTGCCGCGCTAAAAGAACGCTCCAACATCAACAACTCTATCTGTACACCACGCGCGTCATTCACACGAACCCCTTTCCGTGAATGATCGCTTTCCTCTTTACTATTAGTTTCATTAGGACATTTATTATGTTCAAACCCTCCCTCTCTCCCCAAGGATGAGGTAATTGAGGCTGTGCGAAACATCTCCACAAAGTCTTCGTTTATACGAAATCGCGGGATTGCGCTGGCGGCGATCCGTAAATTATCACTATTGCTATTTTCAAGATCCTCTTCGTTAAATAACGGGATTAATTCCAACGAGCATTCAATATAAGGCAAGTCATTGGCCCTCGCGACGAAAGACTCCACGCGGTGATTTTCCTTGATGCCCTCGCGGTACTCCACCATGGCGCGGAGCAGACGGCAGCGCATTTGATGTTCATTGTGTAAACGAGAAAGAAGGATCTCCAGGTGAAGCTCGCCCATCCCGCGGACGACGACGTGACCGAAATCACTTCGCCCGACGTGCAAACTCGGATCCTCCCGGACGTACTCTTTTAAGGCCTGATCCAGTAAAGGAATCTGGGCTTTGGTGGCGGCCTCGATGGAATAGGCAATCACCGGGGGAGGGGCCTCAATCCCCTCTAACGTATACGCCATCTCCTCCTCAGGGGTTTCCTCGGTGGGATTGTTAGAAAGTCCCGCTTTAAAAGCCCTGTGGGGTGCAGGGTGGGCAAACAGGGTATCCCCGGTGTAGGTATTCGGCAGAAACGCCGCTCCGATCTCCCCGGCGCCCAAACACGGCACCTCCGCCAACGCATTTCCCTGCATGACGAAAAGCCCCTCGATCTTTTCCCGCGCCTGTCGGGTGCGATTGTGGAGCTCCATCCCGGGGCGAACTCTTCCGACGTAGACGCGAATCCACACCAACGCCCGCC